CAACCCTCATGACTTTGAGGACATCAAGGGAGAGATTGTTATGGCAGGTCTGGTGTATGAACTCCTCTGTGACCAGATCTTGGCAGTTCATTACCTTGCTTCAGAAGCGTTTGACGAATGTGTCAACTAACTCTCTGTTCTTCTGCTTCTCATCCAGAAAAGCTCAAATTGACAATTTAGTGTCATCATCGAAGAAGTTGACGAGAAACATACTCTCAATGTCGTCCAAGTTGTTGATGCTTCCTAGGTTGAGATAGCGGTACCATTCGAAGGTAGCTACGCGAAGGGTGCTAACGAATGACCAAAACATCAGGGGTTCATTCTCGGAGATCACTCCTAGGTGGGACTTGAAGTAAATCAAGTGCTGAGTGGGCGAGTCCCTCCCGTCAAACGGCGTGAAGTAAAGTAGATTGAACTTCGATGATACGAAATTGAATCACACTCTCTTGGATATGGACACGGAATGCCGGTCATCTTTACTTCTTGAGCCGATAGCAAGACATTGACCTTATCTTCCAGCTCTTGCATTATCTTGTTGTCATTAACAATGGGGCCACCCCCAGCGTTGTTGTCGACGGGAGGGGTATCAACATTGTGATTTTCCTCCACCTCTGAGTCACTATCCGCTTTGTTGCGATGACTAAATTCGCCAATCTGATTTGACAATGCTTGAAGTTGTTGGTCGTGTAATTCCCTCATGCGCTACATGTTCAACTCCATTTCCATCTTCATTTCAGTCTTAAGCTCTTCTTTCTGCTTAGCTAGAGCGTTTTCGAGCATTTGAGCTAACTGGTCGGGAGTGATGGTGAACGCCTCCCGGACTCATCCAGTGCCGTGTTATCCGAAGCGATTGTAGAGCAAGCGTCTGATACTTCATCATCTGAGGATTCCCTCTCTGTATCCTCTGGTAATCCCTACGCCTAATAGTTCCCGATCGCAACCGAGTTAAATGCTAGGATATTTCCGAAAAAGGCTCAAGACTGAAGCATCGTGTTTACTTCCATTTATCGGCCACGTTGATGGTAACCTCTAGGAGTTCATCATGTTGAACAGCCGATCTTTTCCTGCGAAAGCGCCTTAATTTGGGTTTCGACGCTTCATTGAAAATCCTTTCAAATACTGAGACCCTCTGTAAAGCAGTCTTGGGGCAGTCACATTCTGATAATACTGCCCTGATAAGCTTAGCGTACGGACAGTGAGAATCCGTTTCCCGGATACTTCTCTTCAGAGACTTGTTCGTACCCCCAGCCCGATAGTACAACTCATCTGCATGATTACCGAAGAAACCTATTGTGCGCTGGCATGACTTCCCTTGTATAACGTCGTCGTCTTTTGACGAACACATTTCCTTTTGGGGACATAACGCCACGTTTTCGTTCTTAAGAGTCACTCGTTTGGAACCACGTATTCATGAGCACGAGGCCTCAACGGGCTCTTGGATTTCAACTCACAATCCGAGGCGAGCGGTTACCGGTACTTTCCCAATATGGGAGGTCCTTGACTTGTCGAGAGGACGCGCATAACCCCTAGACTGCCGAATTGCTTGGGGTTCATTCACCGGGCCCAAGCATTCTTTGACCAGAACTTTGCCTTGATCCTCGTACAAAGAATCAAGGCGATCTGCCATGATCATCTTAAATCGGGAGAGATCTACGCTGCCGTGGGACTTCACTAGAGGTACAGGATCAACTGGGGCAGGAGCGGAACTCGACGAAAGTGGAGAAATAGCCGCGGGAGCCTAGCTAGCTCGGCTCTGGCACGGGTCACCTTGAGGTGACCCACGACTGGCCGGGTCACCTTGCGGTGATTTGTGTTTTTCGGTCTTCTCGGCCGTGTTTGGACTTGGGCCTCCATACTTAGCATGGTTTTGGTGATTTTTTGGTCACCTCTTCCTTTTGCAATTTCTGTGCCTCTTGCACAAGAATCTGCGCGTGCGGGTAGTGCGCGATGCTTCTGAATATGCTCCTCGAGAGTCGAACGGGTCCTTTTGACGTGGATCCATTCATCGGTTGATGGTTTGGAGGAAGAGTCATTTGCTCGCTGCCGATGCGCTTAGCATTTTCTAAATTCTAGATCCGCCTTATAACGAATCCCATCAACCGGCTCCAATGCCTTGGCTAGTTGGCACGCGAGGCATTAGCGTTGCCTTTGACGAGCCCTCTTTGACAGAATCGGCACGCCTTCAGCACTCAACTCCTTGATTGTGGATGAGTTCAAATCTGCAGATCCGACTTCATTGGACGCCGGAGGGGCATTGCAAGGCACAACACCAGCAGCAATGGGACAATGATCATCGCCCTGGGTCTTCAGATCTGAAGACCAGCGAACCTTCCTGGAGGAGGAGATCTTCCTGTACTTGTGAGTGGAGGAGGATCTGGAGGAAGACGACAGGTATTCCTCATACTTCTGTTGGTCGAACTCGTATTCACCTCTATATCAACAGGGATTAGGATCCTTGGTTGCGACACTACAGCCTCGGCAGAGAGGCTATTGGCTCCTATTGTGGTCGCCATCGTGTTTGTGTTGAAAGTTAATTTTTTTGAGGAATTCATTACAACTTTAGGTGTTTACAACGAATTCAAAAGATGAGTCTTTTTATAAGATCTCTCAACACAAAAGAAATAGAAAGATTACAACTTTTTTTAAAACACACACAGATAATGTTTATCACCCGCTGCATGCGTGGGGTCTTTGCCTGTGCCAGAGTTTATCCGTGGACCGCCACGGATTAGATCCGAATGATCGGGAGGCTAAATGTTCGTTGCTTCACAAAGAAAACAAGAACAGAAGTGATAATCTCAACAAAGTGAGATTACGACTCTTCTCGAGATCATTACAAATTCTGATATCAAGGAATGACGAAATGAGCATCAGATCTCTCGAAACGCTCCTTCTTTATGCCGGAGTTCACCAAAATTTGCTAGCCCTCCTCTGAAATTCGTTGGATTCACTCTCCAAACTGACCGCACCTCGTCCTCTTTTTAGAATTTCAGATCCCTTGCGTATAGGACCCTAGGCTTGTATTTATAGGCTTTAGTTACGGTGTTTTTGGATAATAATAAGTGATTTGGCCTCATCTTCAGTTAATAACGGTCTAACTACGTTTAGGGATGATATCCAAGTAGTTGGGAGGCTTTGAAACGAACAAATCCTGAGAAAACATCGAAATACGTGTTTTCGAAAACCGGGGTGCGAGTCAGTTCAATGTGACCCGCGGGTGTGCGGGTCACATTAATGTGACCTGCACGGGAGCAGGTCACATCAACGTGACCCGCACGGGTGCGGGTCACTTTGATGTAACTCGCACACCAGCGGGTTGTTTTGATGCGATTTTCAAGCGACTTTGTCTTGTTTTGGTCTTATTCTGTCGTTTCACGGGTTTGTACATTTCACCGGCTTGCTTTATGCGTTTCGTTGTTTCGTCTTGGCATCGGATAATTTCATGATGACGTTTATCACCTTCGTTTCGTTTTGAACTACGTGTGGGAATCTATAGGTATTTTTTAATGCCTATAGATGCATGTTACTAGGTTGATGAAGCGCATGTGGGAGATAACTTCTGCGGGGTTGACCAAATGTTTCTTCTTTTGTTACTTATATCTAGAACTCACTCCTTACAATTTTCTTTTGGCTTGTATTAATTGTAAATTTGATGAGATTAGTGATAGCTCTAAAACATTTGTAGTTGGATTATGTTTTTATCTAGCTTCTCCTCTATTAAGTTTTGGCTAAGTTTAGTTTTAACAACACATCTATGACTTATATTGTAGGTGACGACATTGGTTCTCTCTCTACTCATGTGTATGAACTGTTTGATCATTACTATTCTTAGTCTAGCTTAGTCTGGGTTAAGTTAGTTATTTTAATGAATGTTTCGAACAGGGCATCTCGCCCTATTTTTAGCTTCAAAAAATGGATTTTTTTTCTTTCAAAGAAATTTCAGTTATTTCTTAATTACAAATAGGGATCCAGCGACAAAAGCAGAAAGTTCAAGATGGTTTTGTGAGATACCCCAAACTTTATGAGGTTTCGTGAGATTAAAAAATTCATGGGGTTATTTGCAGACCCCCAAAGTTTAGGGGGCATTGTGAAATTAACCCATGTTGAGTCTTGTCACTCCGACAACGCTGGCTGTATAATTCAGCTCAGTAAAGACTGATTTTTACTATTCAAGATGGTACAATCATAAATTTATGTGATAAGATGCAACACCAATTGAATTGTTCTCTTCAAGCTAGGTCTGCTTGGCTGGTTTCTGAAAATAATAAGATACCCGTGTTCCGTGTCAGAAACCTATTTTCAGTCGTTTAATTGCTCGATTTCTTAGAATTGGATTACTAATGGTCGGTTCACTTTTAAAACAAGCGTGGAATTTGATTACCACACTAATTTGTTGTTTGGTTGAGATTAAAAATAGGAAATGAAGTACATTTTGTTGAGGTGATTAATATGTGAGTACGTCAGATAAGATAAGAAAAAATGCTGAGTTTAAATAGAATTTAGGTCAATATCTAATAGTTATAGTTTTTGGGTTAAAATTGATTCCTAACTTCTGTTTAAGACCCATCAACTTTAGATTGGACCCAATTTCTCCCCCAACACATTTGGGGGCTAAAAGTAACAACTTGTAACTAATTTGTTTCCAACTAATACGTTTCCAACCTATTCTGAGCTAAAAGTTCCCTCCTTAAGGTGGTATTCGTGCATTTTATGCACCGCACCACTTTTATTGAAATTTTTTGCTGAAGAGAACATCAGAAACCGGAACCTAGTTGGACCTTAACTTCCTATCTTTGAAGTGTCAAGCCATGCAAGCTCTTTTTGGGGGTTTTCCTCCTGATACAAGAAGGCCCTGAAGGCGAAGAGCCTCTTTTTTTAAATAAAAAAAAGAGAGACGTATTATACTTAACAAAATTAAAATTAAAATGAAATAGATCATAAATATTTTCTTCACCATCTTACCTACTTTTACACACTCAAAGGAATCACATCTGACTTACTAGGGATCAAGATTTGTGGCATTCCACTTCCTATTAATTTGCAACAGGGGCTGAGAAGAAGAGGGATTCAAGGTAAACATCCAGCCGGACTCGAAGCTTGAATATCGTCCCATTGACCGTACTTGATTGAGCCTAAGCCTTTACCCGAGATTGGAGACAAAATCATTCAATAAAATCTTTCATCCCTTGGAATGAGTCAACCTCTCTTGGCCGCGTCTCTACCTTTCCTAAATGGCAAGCTAACACTCTGAAGTCTCAAACTGAGGAATGCTAGTTATAGGCACCCAACAGGATTTTCTTGTTTTATTTTTTTAACAAGTTTGTTCGAGGCCGAGTCCCCTTTGCTTCTCTAAAATGTGGATAAAACACTAAAGGCTAGTTGGCTCTCCTCTAGTTTATTTGATGAGGACAGAAAACTAGTGATACATCAATAAGAACTAGTATGTGAAATAATAATAAAATGAAATCATGATAGATTAATTTGTTGAAGAAGATATCATACCTTGTTGCTCAGCCTTGAATCCATCTCTCTCTCTCTCTCTCTCTCTCTCTCTCTCTCTCTCTCTCTCTCAGTCAAAAGAGATGCCCTGAGGCAGATGAGGCGTCTACAGATAACAACGGGGTTTTGGTTAGTATGTACTTACTGTGCACCCCGTCTGAATTACTGCCCTTTTGTTAAGCACTATATTTTCAACTTTACTCACTCTAAGTTTTAATATATTTGATTTAATTATTGTATATTTAAAATTAGAAATCACATTTATTTCTCTATACTTAAAGAAAGATTCAAGTTTTAATACATTTGATTTAGAAATCGTCTCTACTCCTCTATACTTAAAGAAAGATTCAAGTTTTAATACATTTGGTTTGTTTTACTATTTATGATACAATAAATTACTGTACGTAAATAGCAATTTTAAGTATGGAGGAGCAAATTTGATTTACTATTTATGCTGCAGTAAATTACAGCAACATGAACAGTACTTCGAGTGCAGTGGAACAAAAGTGGTTAACTGTTCATACTATTTACTGTAGCATGAACTAATTCTTTGGATTCACCTTTAAGTACAGAGAAGTAGATATACCACTTAGATTATACATATTTACAAAACTACCTCCAAACTCTGCATTTGCTCAGAACTACCTTGAATAATCAATTTTTGAAAGAAATACCAATAAATCATTAACTTAATAGTTTATTTGTAATTGTATTATGAAAACATCAATCAAATAGTTAATTACTTACTCATTATATTCAACAAAATTGATAATTTGTTGGTTTAGTTCTTTTTTTTTCTTTTCCAAAGTCAAAGATGTGAGGTAGTTTGCAAATACTAAATTTCGAAGGTAGTTTCACAAATATGCATGAGTTAAGTGGCTCAGGTAAAGAACCCAATAATTATTATGCAAGAACGGCCCACAAATGCAAACATTTATCCTTTAAAGAAGGTGATTAGGACAAGAATGGTGTATAAATGACTTGTAGACGAAGATATGTACAGATGAGATATCTAAAATTTTGCTAGTGGACAACCACTTATGAACAATTCACGAGGGCCCATCTTGTTCTTATTCCTGAAGATTATAGATTATTCTTGCGTGTTTAATCGCTGATGAGGATTCCACGTCATGGACGCATAGTTTTCAAGAAACCAGTTGTTTTTTCTTCTATCACAAAAGAGAAGAAGAGTTTAAGTAATCTATGGAGCAAAAACTTTGTTTGTGGAAGGGAACTCAAAAAAATATATATGTATGAACAAAAAGGTAAGCAAACAATAATTTAAAGAAACTAAGTAATTTAAATCCAAGGACTATATTCACCATGGTTTTTTTTGTATTATGAAGTATAAGTGGAGAAGGGCTCACATATGGGACGAGAAAACAACCTAACAACCACCACAAGCTTCCACATAAAGCTAATAAGATGGATATTTAAAATAAAAGACAAAATATATACAATAAAAACCCTATTGGTGAGGTGTCCCTTCTCGCTTGACCGAGGCAAGTGTCCCTTCTCACCAAGCCGAGGTAGGAATCCCTTCTCGTCAGGTCGAGACTAGAGATGTCCCTTCTCGCTAGGCCGACTCGTCCATTCTCGCCAAGCCGAGTAGAAAGGAGTCGTCCCTTCTCACCAGGCCGAGATAGACTTCCCTTCTCACCAGGTCGAGACGAAAGATGTCTCTTCTCGCTAGGCCGAGACAACAAGCGTCCATTCTCTCCAGGTCGAGACAAAAGGCGTCCATTCTCTTCAAGTCGAGATCATAGGCGTCCATTCTCTCTAAGCAGAGACTAGACGCATCCCTTCTCACTAGGCCAAATCATCCCATCTTGCCTAGCTGAGTCGAAAGGAGCTACCCCTTCTCATTAGGCTGAGTTGTCCCTTCTCGCCAGAAGTCATCCCTTCTCGCCAGACTGAGACGAAAGGCGGTCATTCTCAAACCTTTCGCTGACAGCCAGTCACCTTCACATTAAATGTATGGTCGGAATCATCATTACTCCAAACTAAAAAGTCTTGATGACTCATCGGACTCCATCAGCACCATGCTTCCCTTATCACCATTGCATTAATCACAAGGATGACTCATGCTACCCACAGCTGACGCATGTAAAGTAACTGCTAACTAAGCTATATGTTTGGACTTAGCCAAAATTAAAAAATTACCCCTCTGGACCTACTATAAATAGAGGCACTATCTGCATCACAAGGATAAGCAATATTCTTGCTAAAAAACACTTTATACTCACACTTCTTCTCCACTCAAGCTTTTTACTGACTTGATAGTCGGAGGAATCACTAGAGAACCTAACTCTAGTCCTCTAATGTATTAAAGTTTTGTAGGAATTTTCAACAGTCTATTGGGGATCATCCATCAAAAGAGGTCAATGGACCCCAACCTCTTCAAGATCATCCTAAAATCCCGCTATTGAGAACTTTTACATCAACACCTATCAATTTTGAAAATGCATTTAAGCTTTCTTAACATCATTAATAAGAGGAGCCGGAGATGAAAATGTTAAATATTATATATATTGTTCTATCTTTAGTCCCACATCTTTTACTAATGTATACATTAAAGCAAAACCAAATAGCTTTAAAACTCACCAAAGGATGCCACGTCGCCTTTCTCTTTCACAAATTTTTTTGACACGTGGCATCCCATCTTAACCATCCATAGTTATAACTATAATATCTCAATCTTTAATTTAAATATCACTATATATATATATTAAAATCTAAGTTTTCATAAATTACCATATCTTTTGTACCTAATTCTAATTATCACAAATAATCTCAAACAAATCCCATTCGAGAAAATCTTTAATGTGATTCTTCTATGAAAAAAAATATTTTCCACTCAACATAATGCTTGGAATAAAAAAAATATTCGTTCGCGTCGAAAATCGGTTTTATTGCTTCGAATCCATTACAACTTTGGGCGTTACAACGATTCAAAATAAAAGAAATTTTAAGTCTTTTTATAAGACTTTCCTTACAATGAAAAGAAAAAGAAAGATTTCCTGAGAACACACGCATAGATCGTTTATCAGTCTTCTGTTTGCGCGAGATCTTTGCATGTGCCGGGGTTTATCCGTGGACCACCTCAGATCAGATCAAAGTACAGATTTTATTGACTCGCGAATGAGTCGAGAAACCAAAGTAATTATCTCAGCAACAGTGAGATAACCACTCTTCTCGAGATCATAGCAACGGTGTGATCTCAAGGGAAGAATTGGGCTGCAGATATGTTAAACTCTCCTTCTTTATGCTGAAGAATTTGCTGAAATCTCCTCCTCCTCTCTGAAATTCGTGGCTCTTCAGTCTCCAATTCAGCAGGGCTTCGCCAAGGCTCGAGAATTTTAGATCCGTGCAAATGAAGGTCCTAGGGTTGTATTTATAGGCTTCGGAAGCTCTGTTTTCGGATAAGAACGACCGATTCACTCTTATCCTCAGTTATAACCACTTTATCACGTTCTAGGATAACATTAGATTAGTTAGAATAAATCCAAGCGGTTAACGGTTGAAAACAGCTCAAAACAGCATTTTGGGTCTATGGACACCCGTAGTGTCTCAGCCATGGCCGAGACACTTGGGGTGTCTCGGCCTTGGCCGAGACACTCGTAGTGTCTCTGCCAAGGCCTGGGCACCGTTCAGGCGCGCCCCAGTCAAAATCGCTATATCTTTGTCGTCCGAACTCGGAATTATGCAATTCAAAGTGCGTAGGAAAGCCGATGAAGAGATCTACAAGCTTCCATAGTTGAATCATACATAGAGTAGACGAGATATGAGGGGTGCTTCATCTTTTGTAAGCGAAGCATAACTCCCAATCAGTTCGTATCTTCGTTATTCTGCAGTTCTGTTGCTTCATACGGTTCGTCGACTCACTTCATGCTTGTCGACGTCAAATAAGCTTCTGTGACTCGGATAGTGACGTTCATCATCTTCTCTCTGTCTTGAGCCACGTGCGAGAATCCATGAGAAATTTTTTGACACCTATAGATACCCCCTCTAAAGTGTTTCGGTCTCATTTCTATTATAGAAGAACCTAGAATACTTTGGATGTAATCGGTCCAACCTTCAGTCGGTGAAAAAGAACCTGTAGTTGGCTTCCATTCTTGACTTCTTCGATTTTCAGCCTATTCAATATTTTAACGAATAGCTAAAATTCCTCCGACATTGCGTTTATCGTCTGACCATTGTCAAAGTCTCGAATCAAAACTTATGAGTTGGTTTTAGCTTGTGTCGTTGAGTTGATTTTGAACTGACTATCTTCATCTGAAATTTTTATCTGAACTTTGGAGTTGATTAGAGGTCAAGCATTGACCGTTATTACTACGCGTTGACTGGCGTTGACCTTAGGATTTCACATCGACCGGTATTGACTTTCATCACGACGCATTGATCGGTATTGATCTAGGGCTACGCGTTGACCGGCATTGACCTTAGGGTTTCGCATCGACTGACGTTGACTTTCATCACACCACGTTGATCGGCGTTGACCTAGGGTTGTATGTTGACCGGTGTTGACATTTGGGTTTTACATCGATTGGCGTTGACTTTCATCACAACGCATTGACCGGTGTTGACCTTAGGACTACGCGTTGACCAACGTTGACATTAGGGTTTCACATCGACCGGCATTGACTTTCATCGCAATACGTTGATCGGCGTTAACACAATTTATACTCGTATGTTTGCTATAGTCTTCACAATTTAAGCTCTTAAAGTATTAGAGTGTGGCGGACCCAAATGCTGGGGCTACAGGATCAACTGTTAAAGCTGATTCATCTGCATGTATGTATCTTATCCTAAAGTTATCGGATCCTTAAGTCACAAGACCAACTAATGGAGCTGGTGCGT